AAGAACAATAAGACTTTTAGCTGCTCCATAAAGAAAATACCTCTTCATTTCTCATTTCCTCCAGTTTCTTCTCCTTCATTACCCTTCGTTCACGTTCACGTTCCTCAAATGAGAAAGGGCACATTTCTACCTGGCTCTTAACTGGTAGTTTGGGCTGAAAGGGCAGGAAGTGGGGCACAGCATGTGCCTTAATTGGAGCAGGAGGCTTCTCCTGAACGGGCAAAGGAATTATGTGAAGAGTCAACAAATATCAGTGTCATGAATTTAAATAAAGAATAAGACTGAAATGTACCTCTTCTTTTTTCCTTTCCATTCGCACACGGTTTTTAAGAGCAAATGCAGGTGATTCTGGAACAGTTGGGTTTAGAACTTTCTTCTCTGGGACACCCTTTATTGGGGGGGGGTTGACAGTAACAATGGAATTATTAAAAAGGACGTCTCAACCTCGATAAAACAAACCTAAAAAAAGGGGTTGAGAGAGCGGTTACTAACCACAACTTCCTCCAGAATTCGAGTTGGTAGAGGTCTGGGATGGAACGTGTGGTCCTCTTCTTCCTCAGGCTTCTTACTGGCCTGCCTCTCCTGAAGTCGCTTCTCAATCTCCAGCTGGAAGCCCTCAGGCTTGGTAACTTCTTTACTAGCCGGCTTTTTAAGAACCAAAGCTCCTTCTAGAATCTTTCTGTTGAGTTCTAGAGCTTTGAACTTAAACCTGAAATGACCGAAGGAAAGTTTGAAGAGATGTTCTTGTGCTAAATTAAAATTAAGCATTAACAAAACACAAAAGTCTTTTCAAAACTTACTGCTGAATTTTTTCTGTTTCTTCTGCCTCAATTTCCGCAGTGCTTTTCACCATTGTGGGACGATGTCTCTGGCGAGTCAGTAGCTGTGGCGTTTTGGGATGTGTGATTTTTGGCTTCTCAGCCTTCACTGGTGAAGGTCCTGCAAATAAAATACAGGCAAAATTAGTCAAAATCATCAAGTGTAGATTACAGATCATCAGAGGAAATAATCATGTATTTATCCCACTGAAGAAAGTCATATAGTTCTGGAACTACATGAGGGTGAATAAATGATGCTTTACCAGCATCACACAAGAATGCAATGCTAATAATATTCAAAGCTACCAGAAATAGGGTCTGACAGGAGACACACCTCTTTCCTGGCTCTGCCGACTACGCAGGTGATAGCGGATGGGAGTGCGTTTCTGAAACTGTTCAATCTGCTGGGCCATTGGCATGTAGGCTCCTGCCTCATCAAGCTTCCTCTTTCCTCTGGAGAGGTTGAAGGGTTTAGGAATGGTTGTTCCCTTTGGAGCCTTCAACTACAGAATGACAAAAACATTTAAATCATCAAGCAGCTTCAAAAAGAATCCAACTACTCATCCTAGTGACTGTACTCACAGGGGAAGATGGGTGCTTGCGGAGCTGAGAGGTGAAATCCACCTCCCTGTACGAGTTGTCGACTGCAGAGCCTCCATCCGTGTGGTTCTTTAGCCTGCTATCTGAGCGGAAATTGAATTCTTTGGGAATGGTGGTGGACAGCACATGCCTCTTAGGAAGCTGACCTTTAAAACAACCAGAACAGCCAATTAAAGTCACATTGTAAAATTTATAAAAAACAAAACAAAACAATAAATGCAGCATTGCTCTTATCATTAAGAACAGAATGGTTTTGCTAGTGACTCACTGCCTGCCAGAGCAGCCCTGTAGCTCGCCTCATTCTTACGCCGCTGTTCCGCCACCTCTTTTTGTAGAGCCTCGATGCGCTCCAGCTCTTGCTGTTCTGTGCTTTTCTGTCTGAAATTCAAAGAACGCACATATATTTTACTTCTTTAAAATGAAACCCTTCTGATAAGTAAATAAATGATAAAATACATTGAAGTTAAATCAACTGAAAAGACACAAGGGGAAGCTCCTGTTCTTTACAAATACCAACAACTACCTAAAGTTTGAGGTTGGGTAAGTTTTCATGTTTTTTTTTGTGTGTAAAATCTCACCCTTAGCTTCAGTTATTTGATACAGTAAAACAGTAATACGGTCAAAATTATACTACAAGTAAAAAAAAAAATCAGTTTTAAAAATTCAATTGATTCCTGTGACGGCAGAGCTGATTTTTAGCATCATTACTACAGTCTTCAGTGTCACATGATCCTTAAAGTCTGAAAACATACCATGAAGTTAAATCAACTGAAAGTATTATTTTACTTTTTTTTTTTTTTTTGATAATGTAGTGTAGTTTGACTTTGCTAACAAACATTTTTGCTAATAGGATTTGCTCTCACTGTGTAATGTTGGAGGCAGAGGCAGTGTCTGAGGTCTTTGAGGCAATGGCTGGTTTGTTTCTCAGCCGGACACTGCTCCTCGCACCAGCACCGCTGCGTCGCACACCAGCACCGCTGCGTCGCACAGTTCGGGAAGTTGAGCTTCTGTGAGGAGATAAACCAAAAGCATATTATTAGAAAATCACAGAATATTGTTACTTCCAGGTAACACCCCACATTACCAGCATTTTCACCAGTGAAGTCTACTAAATGCCCACTAGGTGCCCTTCTCAGTTTAGCACACACATTTCTTAGTTCATTTTACCTTCGCCGCTGATCAAAAACTCTCCATGCTGTGGCAGCCGGTACAACTCTATGCAGCGAGACAAATGGCTAATTGAGCACACTCTAATAGACTAATAACAGATCTAAAGTTTGAAAAACATACCTTCTTTTCTTGACAAGAGGAGGTGTTGTAGGAGCTGTAGGCTTTTCATTTCTAGGTACAGGCCGTTTGGACACTCTACAGGAAGAAACAAGAAAAGTCAACCGATGTTAGAATAGTTTAATTTCCAGCGATATCGTTGACTTGATTGCACAGATACTATTTAAATTGATCTGAGCTGGACGATATCACTGAATTCAATGATGAACTGCCTTTAACTGAAAACTGAGTGTTTACCATTGTCCTTTTGCATTATTGCCACACTATTTGATACTGTAAAGCTACATATAAAATACAATATGTATTGTTAAAAGCGCTATATAAATAAAGGTGACTTGACTAGAAGAGAGTGAAAAAAATGGACTAGTTTAATAGGGTGTATATAAATTACAGATAAGGTCTCATTTACCTCCGTGGTTGAGCAGGAACAGATTTCTGGCCTTGACCAGGAGCTGGAGTAGTTCTGCCGTTTGCCCATGATGTGACTATGTTAGATGGGACCTCCGTAGAGGTGCTTTCTCTGACATCTGAAGCAGAGCAAATATTAAGATTCCACATGCAAATCAAACATCTTTTTTGAAGTTTTTCCTAATTGAAGCCGTTTTCCCCCAACCTGAGCTTGTTGTCTCATCTTTTTTGACCATGGGAGACACTAGAGCTTTGGGTCTGTTGGTATTGTGGGTTTCATCAAAAAACTTTGTCTGTAAAGGGGTGGTGAGCTGTTCCACCGTGCCGCCTTTAGGAGTTGCCTTCAACTCTAATAGCAAAACAGAACAAAGATAGTTGTGCAATTGAACATGTATGCGTTTAATTATTATTATTTGTGCACTTGAACATGTATGCATGTATTTATTATTAATATACACATACACACACACACACACACACACACACACAAACATAAAGATTGAAGTCATACCAAACCACTGGTCAGCATTATCCTGAGGGTCCAGGGCAAATTCATCTATAGACTCTATAACATGAGAAGGGGCATCCCATGTGTATGCATCAGCAGAGCCCCCTTCCATATTCACACCGGAATCTTCTGCAAAACCAAAAAGAAAAAGGATTTATACAGTTAAAACGTAATCTGTAGCAAAGCTGCACAAATAATGAAGAAAAAAAATGATAAAGTAGCTCTACATTTCCTGCGCAGAGCGGCGCAAAATGGCAGTTGATGGCTAATCTCAGACTCAAGGCCCAGACTGCAATAGCAGCGCTAAATTTATCCACCAGTTATGGATTATAAGAATAATCTATGTAAATTACAGACTATTAATATTCTAATACATCTTAAATGGCAGATCGGCACTTTACACGATCATTTCAGAATCAGTTGATATGAAATATCCGCATGCACCTCTCATTACTCATAACCACAAACAAAAGGATAAATGTAAACAAACGAAGCCTAAATAATATCTTTACATAAATTAAGATAACATTCATCAATTGAGTAAATAAACTCTGAACTCCATCGTTCTATTGCATTAAACATGAAAAACTTGTTTTGCAGCGATTACGGCCAAATACAACCGCACCAATTAAAGCTTAATTTAAATGCAGCAGCTGAGTCTAAATCAAAATATGATAATGTTTAAAAATGTGCAAGAAAACATACTTACGTTTTAAACCGATGCCTACTATCACAACCTGGCAAAATATAGCAAAATTATGAATCAACAGACGCACGTATCCTCCTCCACAACCAGTCGAGAATGCTAGTTTGAATGTTGGTGCCGTTAGAACTGCGTTTATGAATCAGCCAATCAGAGGTCTTAACACGGCGCGTTTCGTTTTCTATTAGCTCCGCGCTTGTGACGTTTTCGAACGCGATAACCACGTGACTAGATGAAAGAAGAGAAGCAGAGATGCATAACGGCTAGAAGGGATACGTATGGCGTTACTGGGCATGCGCACATCAATACGGCATAATTTTTGTCACACTGTACAACAATAATTACTATTTTTTCATTATTGTAAGGGGTAGGTTTAGGGTTGTGGTAGGTGTAGACGTTAATAAAACACAATCTAATAGGTAGAAAATTTATTTAATTGTTCGCCAACTGACTGAAGTTAGTTTAAATAAATTAATAATTGTTTTATTTACAGATTACCTTCATTTACGGTCTTCTGTTCTACAAAACGATCTTTTGTGATCAGTTGTTAGTAAAAAGTTATATTTTCATACAATTATCTTAGTTCTCAATAGGCTATTCTTTTTTTCCACTAAAATTAATTAAAAACATTTTTCATTAAAATTCAGTGAAAATGAAGCACAGACTCATACTAGGATTTCAGCTTTAATGCTATCAGTGCAAATCAAAACAGTGAATGTGGACAGAGAATCATGAATGTCAAAATACTAACACAATACAGTACAATAAGGCTTGAACTTTGCATGTCAAATCACTTTAAATGCCAGTAGTTTGCAAGTTATTGCAAATAAAAAAACAATCATAGTGACAATAAAATGGGCAAGGGAATATAAAAATGACAAGGCAATAAAATTAAGATGCACATGTTATAAGCAATACGCTTCTGTGTAGTGAATTACATCTTCTGGATCATCACCTGGAATTTGCCTAAGAACAAAGAAAGTGCAGAAGAGAACAAAAAAAAGAAACAATTAGTTACATTTTACATTTAATTAGAACTTGATGAGCTCAGACTTCATTAATGTTAAGTTTCAGATTAAGATCATGAAAAAAGTACTGAAAATCTAGTGGTTATTTCAATAAGACTGCATAAAAGTTGCTCCTTACAAGCAGGCATGACCGATACTTCTGCTGTGACTATACTTTTCACACCAAGGTTTGAAAGTGCTCCTCGGACCAGTCCACAGGTGAAGGCTAAGAACTGCAGGAATGAAAAAAGGAACTTTTTGAAACATAAAAGTGGTAGTTGTATAGACTGTCGATGGAGGGACAGAAGTCTTTAAGATTTAATTAAAAATATCTTCATTTGTGTTCCGAAGATGGACAAAAGTCTTACAGGTTTGCAACAACACGAGGGTGAGTAAATGATGACAGAATTTTCTTTTTTGGGTGAACTATCCCTTTAATGACATTATTTGAGATTTTATTAAATATTGTGTATTCCTTCTTCCCTGTCTGTAGATACAATATTATTACAAAAAAATTTAAATACTAAATATCTCATTATGGTATTTACAAGGATGAAGATATTGATTCCGCAGGTTCAGTTTAAAGATCAAGTCAGCTTATGTTTATGTTTTTATTTAACTCACCCATTAAAGCTTATTGAAGTTATTTATGCTGCTTACCTTCGGTGCATGTTCCATATACTGTTTTCCAGCAGACAGTTGGGTCAGCAGGCGGAACTTGTTATCTTGTAGCACATAAATACCCTACAAACAATTTGAACATGTGAGGATTTTCTTAATAAGCACCTCTAGTTAATGAGGACATACACTAAGCGCTGAGACGAATTGAGATGACATAAATTAGCATTATATTGTACACACCTGGTGGTTTGTTCTCAGGTTGTCAATTTGCTTCTTAAAAACACTGGTCCAGAAATCTTTGCAGATAAACTTCATAACATCAAGCTCATCTTTAAAACGTGGCGTGTCTTTGGTAAACCTGCGAACAAAAATGTGCTTGAGACACATCTTCTCAAGAACAAATGGCTATTTATTTGAAATACTAATTAAATAGTCTATTCAATTTTCAGTAAAATGAATTAAAAACCATTTAGTTAAATTTGGGTCCACTGACAAGCTGCAGTACTACAAATAAAACTGCAACAAGCAGTCAGATCATAGGATGTCATCAGAGGATCTGCTTGATTTAAGAATAAAATTTGGATTTATGGATGAAAAGATCTGCCATGATACCTCTCAATAAGTCCTTGTCCCACACGAAACCCCATGTTCTCAAGTTTAGAAACACATCGTCCATTCTCCTGAGCACAGCAGAACATTACATTAATTCAACATGCAACTTTCTCACAATTAGTTTTATTAGTGTGCTGGGCTTACTCAGTTCTATTACGCTATTCTACTATTCTGTGACAGTGTTTTCAGGGCTCTTACCGATTCCCCAGTTTCTGCACTGTTGACATATTGAATAATTTCACTGTGCAGGAACTGAAAGAGAGCCTCGTCTGCCATCTCGAGCCAGTTCAGCCAGACTGAAACTGACAAGCGACCCAAACCGACTACGGGTATAAATCACTTAGCCTACTACTTTAGTAAATGGACACTATTCATTGTGCGAAGAAATCAACTACAACTTCAAACAATTCGCCAGTCTATTCGACTGCTCCCTAATTTACTATTAGGGTCCTTCTTCACATCTGTTCCACTTCCTGTTTGGTTGAGACCTAGCTGCCCTTGTATATGCCTGAACGTAAAGATGTTTTTTTTTCTCTCGTTTTGTTTGGAAAGGGGGATTTCTCTCTTGTTTTGTATGTAAATTAAGTATTGAAAAGTGATGCAGTCATGTACACCCGATTGACTATTATAATCAACACTTTGCCTTTTATATCTGAATTGGTTTGCAACTATTAATACCATTGTTGTATTGCGCATACTAGTATTAATCTTTTTGCAGTCTTATTAGTAGACATATTAACGTTTTGTATAGTATTTGATTGTATTGTTTTTTTAATGATACACAGGGCTGTTTATAAAACCATTATAAAAATTAAGTATTTTATAAAATCATAACACCTGTAAATGAATGCTTGCCTATAATTTTTCGTATTTATCTCTTAAATAATTTCTATAATTCATCTTTATAATTATATAACTTTTATATAGTTCATTAAAGACTTAAATTGTTAATAATTTTTAGTAGCCCATTGCATTAATATGAATGAATAACTTGACATAAATACTGACGTTTTAGAGCCCTTGGTAAAAACAACAACTATTATTATTTTACTGACAGTAAATCATGAATGAAACACACCAGAAACACAAATTCTACAAGATGCTTTATTTCTTAATTCATCCTTAACATTGTTTCTTTCCGCATACACCTTAATGCCTCACTCACCCACTTTTGCTTTCATAATGTTTATGTTTAAAACATTCCTTGGAACCCAAAAATGCCAATGCTTGGAATTTTAAAGATGTAAAACACCCGTTTACTCCAGCTAAACAGCCATTGAAACTTTACATTTCTTACTAAAGGTACAGTACAGCTGTGCACAGTGTGCATCTCACTGAGGTAGATCAGTCGGAGTCTAAACATCACAGTCGAGTTGAGGTCAATTTCATTTCAGTTCAGCCAAAGGAGGAAATGCCCATGATGGTTTCTAAATAAAATAAAAACTCATGAAATTATTTCACACCTTCAGCTGGCCTAAACAAAATGGAGTTGACAACATATGCCATCAGTTACCTTATAGGCCACTGGTGCATGTAACACTGAGTCAAAAGTACAGACAGCGAAGCAGTGCTAAAATACCATTCAAATTTACATGAGAAAACATTTTCTTTTCTGACAGTGCTCCTGGTTTAGCTTGGAGAGATAAATGAAGTGCTTTTCAGCAATAACTGGGCATGTGCTAAGATTATTTTGTCTGAAACTTCTGAATCCAGGCAAAACATTGAGGGAAACTTTGTAGTGTGAGAACTACGTATTGTGTAAAACTAGTATAACCATTTTTTTACATGAATATTCAGGGCGCAAATATGATCAATTCTTGTTTATTACTAAACAAAAAATGTTATTTTTAAAGTTATATTTTACTTAGTTCCCATATTAGGAATGTGTCAGAAGGGGCTACTTAATTTTAAACAAATGTTCACTTTTCATTGATTTTCAATTCCAGAGGGATCAATGCTTTATTCTGCATTTCATTCACAAAATACTCTGGAATGAACAGAGAGAGATGGGGATTTACAGGAGAAGAGTCTCCACAATAACTGTGATTCCTTTCATTAGCATTAAGGATGTGAACACAACAGCGCCTAAAAACTTTTACCTAAAGGCTAAAATCAACACAAGCTAATTAATTAAATGCTAATTAATCACCTGACTCTAAAAATGTCATAACTAAAACCATTGAGCATTCAAAAAGAAAAAGAAAATCAAATGAGATAACGTTTACTTCATTTCTTGTCAAATGGTTGAATCTTTTTCGTGACAAGAGTTCAGCTTAGAGAGGTAGGTTTTTTTGTGTTGTGTGACCGTGAGCTGAGAGGTACATCTAAGAACACAGTTCAACTTGACTTGTATGGTGCGGTCACATTAGCCAATTTTCGGCAAAATGTCATGGACAAAAAAGGTCAAAAGTGTAGATGTATGAAGCAGAGCGCACACAGAAGTCAATTTCAAACCAAACACATTTTTGTTGGTCAATGCATTAAATTTATATTACCATATGACTCGGTTGTGAAATTTGCACAGGGAAATCTTTCACCCGCATTCAAAAGTACCCACGTGGATTCCTATTGAAATAACTAGATTTTGCAGACGAAAACTCGCAGAGCAATAAATGTGACCGCACCTTTAGTCATAGAAGTGCCGTTGATAAAAAGTGCTTCATTATACAACGGAGAACACTGTAATAGCATTATTTTCCTTCTTGACAAAAATATTGAGGTATTTCTTTAGCTAACTTTTCAGTTTGTTTTTGTTTTTTTTAAATGAATTTTATGTTCATTTATCACTACAAAACAGTTACTCTGAAGACCCTCTAGGAAAAACCACAACGTTTTTTAACTATTCAAAACTAAAAGCAAAACTCCATCTATCCTAGTGATCCTTTCATATAATTCTACAGGATCCATTTCGCACCCAACAAACTTCACCATCTCCAGTTCATTACCTATAAGCTACTTGGCAATGACACAACAGAACTGTCGCGTTTGACTGGCAGGTCATAGTGGACATGGGCGACATCATTGCTGGAAGGCCTGATGGAATCGAGGTAGAGTCGGAGAGAAACCAGAGAGCTGGTTTAAGTGCCCTGAAGCCTGAGGCTCATGCAGTGACTGTGGCTGAAATGAGGCAAGCGGCCCAGAGAGCTGAGAGGTAGGGCTTGGGGACACGACGTTGGTGGTGGTCGAGTATCCCAAGGTAGTGCTGTAGGGAGGCAGGCCAAACGGCAGGAAGCCCAACAGGTGCGAGAGGTCCATGTTGGCGGAGGTGGTAGGTGGCTCGGCTGAGGTGAACGCCGAGTTCCTGAGAGTGAAATGGGCACTCTGACCTCCCAGACTGTCAGTGAAAAGGTCGCCAGGCCGGGAGACGGCAGTCGCTACAGCGGCCTGCGGTGGCATTGGCCCGCACTGGAGTTCAGTCAGGAAGCTCTCCATCTCCGCTTTCAGATATGAGGTAGTGGAACTCGGCTGATATCTGGAAGCCTGCTGGTAATGCTGCGGAGGAGGCTTGTTTGGCTCAAGGTAGCAGCCCACACCCATTGGGCTGGAAAGGGGGCCAGACACCATCGTGTGATGGTGATGATTGACCCCTGAGGTAGATGTGCCCGGAAGGCCTTGAGGGTTGAACATGGCCATGGAAAACGCCTCTGTGGCATCTTTCGGAGATCCAACAGAGCATGCGGTAGGACTGCGCTCCTCTTTAATGGGCATCGGAGGAAGGGTCTCCAAATCTTGTGCGTGGCTTTTCTTCAGGTGTCGGGTGAGGTGGTCGCGACGGCCAAAGCGTTGGGCGCAACGCGGGCACAGGAAGTCCCGTCTGCCGGTGTGCACCACTGCGTGGCGCCTCACATCCTTGCGAGTGAAGAAGCGGCGGCCGCACCGTTCACACTGATGCTTCCTTTCTCGTACCACAGTCCCCGGAGGTGGCCGGCCGGTGTGTGTACTCAGGTGCTCGAGTAGCGCCGGCATGCTCTCGAATGCCTGACTACAGACCTTACAGGTGAGGTCACCGCTGGCGGAGGTGGCATGCGTGGCCACGTGGCGTCTAAGTCCCAGGCGAGTGTTGTAATGCTTTCCGCATTCCTCGCACCGCAGTTCCTGCTTGTTGGGGTCATGGTTTTGCAGGAGGCTGTTTAGCTGGTCTTTGCCATGAAACATTTTCTCACATATATGGGTAGTTCTCAGGGAGTATGTCACTGTACATCTGTGAAAAGCCAACGATCAGTGATGACAACAATTCAAGGTTAAAAAATTAAGTACAATTATAATCTCATTGTTTTAGAGCAGGGGTGCCCAATCCTGTTTCTGGAGATCTGCCTACCTGTAACGTTTAGCTCAAAATGTAATCAGGTAGATCTCCAGGAACAGGATTTGATAGCCCTGTTTTAGAGACAAAAGCAAGTACCTGAGAAGAAGCTCCAACAGCTGATTTTTCTTCGGAGTGAAGATTGTTTTTTTGCATGTTCAGTCTTCTGCACATAAACAAAAAATGCAGCAGGTGAGGATTTGGTAACATCATCTTGATCTTATACATGCACTTAACACAGTAATAACAGTAAAAATGCACAGTTACAAGCAACTAACCATAAATGAAACTCTAAGCCTAACCATATATTAGGTACATGTTAATTAATATTACTCTGTACTTATTTGTATAACTACATTGCAATAATTTTAAGTGTAAATAAAAAAGTAAATAAATAAAGTATAACCAATTATTTTCCCCTTAAAGTTCTTTTATGCAAATGTTTATCTAAAATAGTAATAAATCCACAGTGGGTTTGACCATGCAACAACCCAAAAAGTTTTATTTCTAACATTCTTCAATTATCTTCTTTTGTGTTCCATAGAAAGAGGATTAGTAAATGATGACAATTTTCATTTTTGGGTGAACAATCCATTTAACTTGCTTGTAAACACAGTACAACAATTATAACTTAAAGCTTTTTTTGCTGCTACATTATCCAAACAAAAATATTTAAGGCATATACAGTGTAATGAAATGCAATATGATGGTAAAACATTTATATACTGTATATGCTTATATACATAAATTGTTTTAAAATTCCTGGAGGACACCAATGCATCAATTTCTACTGTCTTCTTTCAACATTGAAATAACACAGAACATTTCTGAAAAATAAAAAGATCCCTAGAGAATTTTGACTTCTAAAGAGATAATAAATGAAAGAAATAAACAAAAAAAAGAATCAATTCTTGATTTAGTTTAGTTAAAATTTGGAAATTTGGGATTGCTTAACTCTGAAATTAATTTTATATATGAACAATGGAAAAACATTTTTTAGATACATTTATAAAACTTTAGATTAAAAAAAAAATAAACAAAACTTAAAGAGTGGCTTGATGGCAAAGCAGTGCAGTCTATGAACCAACCGGTCTCTCTGAATGGTAACAGATTTCAACATGAGAAACTTAAAAACACCCTGAGGGGATGTCAATGATGATTGGTTAGTGACATTTATAAAGGGTTTGTTTACCTGTTTCAAGTCTCACAAAAGCACATTCATTATCTTGACAGGCCTCCGCAAAATGCATGTCCACTATTACTCCCTCCCTTTTAGAGAATGGATGGACATCATTCAGGCAACCATTTGAAGTATTTTTTATAAAAACATTATTATATAATTGTTTTAATTTAGTAAAAATATTATTTTTTGAAGCGTATGAATTTGGCTCTGCTTTAAAAGTTCAATTGGGACAAAATATGCTTCTTCTATCTATTATCTTTCAAACATAAAACTTGTTCATGTAGAAATACAGCATAATTACCAAATACAATAATGGAAACCAACATTTTTGCTTATTTTCAGCTTTGAATATTTTAAATTCCAAATGGCTACAAATTACATAGTAACAGCATTTTCTCCATTTCAACTAGCAGTTTACTGCAAATATGACACATGCAATTATGAAATTGTACTTGTATTGTACACATAAAAATGTCATGTTCGCGTAAAATCTGATTTTTTAAAATAAAACAAAATATACTAAACTCTTTTTTAAGGTGTGTCTAGTACTATATATTTTGTTTTGCTAAAAAAAACACCTTGCTGATTTCATCTTGTAGTCTATTTACTTCTGGCACGTTTCGCTCAGCAAAATCTCTAAAGAGCCGCAGAACATTGTGATTAAATGGTCAAATCGAAATTATCCGTAATAAAGAGCGAATCAACACAAATCAAACTATCCTTTCGTGCTTGCCCCATGTTAAAAATAGAAACAAATAAAAGACATTGAAAGCACTATCAGTCTTACGCGTAGCTAATGTGTTTGCTCATGCAGGCAATATTTAAAGTTCTTATGTGGGTTACTGGCGCACATTTATCTTTTCAAAAGTCTAAAAATACTACCCACGAAACTCCATGAGGTTTTCAAACATTTGAATATCAATGCAAACAGTCCATGCGGTCCTAAAGTCACAGTCTAACATTTGCATAAACACAGTCTTGTGCTCACCAGAAACTTTTGATCCCCGCTAAAGTTGCAGTTCTCATGCATTCCTCCATTCTACATCTCGCAAGGGTGCAAATAAAAAAATTATTTCCCAGCCATATCTCGATGGATTCTCAAAAACTATTCGCAGTGGATACTTTATTTATTGTTCAATAATGTGTGTATTTTTCGGGCCTGCTGTTTGTGTCCCTCTAAACACAGCAGCGCTGGAGCTGATGGGGCGCGTGCATTGTGGGAGCGTGACGTCAGACCTCTTTTTGGTCAACTTTCAGGGTGGGATTTCACTCTTATTTTTCACCATTTAAACTATTACAAACACTCACATTGCATCACAGTGAGTTCTATAAATAGACTAAAAACGAATATAAATTACGCGGTATGGCCATTTTCAATAGTTATTAATTACTTCAACTCACTAGTGAAGGAAAAATGAAAAGTTTCTGAGAATTAACTTGTATCTTTAAAAAAAAAAATCATGAATAATACTGTATTTGACAAGATACAATTAATATATCACCACTCAACTTGTGTACAACGTCCGGTTTGTTGCACTCGAGTAATAAATTGCCAATGAAACCTTTACGTGCGGGAACGAACTTGACAAAGTAGCAGAACTTTTCTTCCCTTCTGAGTTCATTCTGCATTATTCCGAGGTAACGTTTAGCACAATTTCGTTTTTGCTTTGAGTATATGTAATGAGTACTGCTTTTCTAACATTGTTTCCATTTCACAATGGAGCGTTTTAGCTTCCAGCATGTAATTGTACGTGCAAAATAACATCCGGTGAAGTCTCGTGAGAAACTGATGTGACTTAACGAAGAGCATTCAGAACGAGTAACATTATTTGTCTATGAAGGTTCTTCATATTGTTATATTATTACTGTCGGTAACTGCTCATTGAAGAAGCTCAGTAAGTGTAAATAATGTATTCATAATAATTATGATAGAACCTAAAATAATACAACAAAAATATCCAAGTTTTAAATTTTATAATATTACTTTAAACACATGTACATATTTTAACACACACACACACACACACACACACACACACACATATATGAGTTGGATAATGGAAATTAACACATTTAAAATAGTTTTAGAATACTTCTACAAAATAATGCTATTTTGTTATTAAATGTAATTATGAAATAAATTCATAATGCTTATACTGTAAATTTAGCATTTATTTTAACAAAATAAAACAGCTGTCACTTTTGCAGTGGAAACATTCAATTGCATTAAATTAAGAATTTTAAAGCAAGGTTACAGTAAATGCATATTGTTGTCTTATATAATAATATACACATTCCTCACATCTAGTTTTCACCCTGTTATAAAACTACTAACAACAACAAACTCAGTACTTTTGAGTAGAAATAACTGTTAATATTTTCTTGCTCAGCAAATAATAGTCCGTATTCTAGAAATACACATAAGCCAAACGAAAGAAAAAGGTTCAGTAAACGATACAAGACTGAAGAGTCTTTAAGTAAGCAGAGAACTAAATATTGTGCTGTAATGTGCAATGTTTGTTAGCATTATATGGAAAAGTACAGACTAGGAAAATAAATGTTGCTAGTGAAGATTACAGACTATAACAAACTGGATAAATGTCTGTATATGCTTTAGACCGCAGAGTTATACTTGCTGGTAAGGAATCTATGCATTGTTTAATCAGTAGGACAGAAATAATACATCATTGTTGTAAACTCAAGAGTGTCAAGGCTAAAAATATTTCCATCACTTACAGCTCCCCACCAGCCAAGCAAACTGGAGCTAAATTTAAGAAGAGGGTCTGGCTAACAACTCTGAACAATGTGTTAAACATGGAATTGCAATTGAAGATCATAAGCAGTATGATCATGTATATCATAAAAAGTTTACCAATAATAAATTGTTACTAAAACAACAAAAGTTTTTCAACTGCAAATTAAAAAAATATATATTGAAATTCAGCCAAATCAAGAGAATGATTCACTCCCAAATCAAATATCAAAATCACTTGTGAGCAAATATGCTGTACACGAGAGTGATATCCAGCTAAAGGCAGAGTATAACCAGAAAATGTATATGGATTAAACATATGGATTTTTATTACTTTTTTTTTATTAAATGCATGCTTGCTGTTTTTATGTGTTCTCTTAGAATAGCATTTTATTGTTTAAATGTTTCAGTGGCATATCTGAGTCTGAGACTACATACCTTACATAAAGAGTGAACTTTCTTTTTACTTTGAGACTACACTAGTTCTCAGTATTTTTAAATAATAGTTTCCCTAATGCTATTGAATTTGCTGAAATAATCCACCCAGTTGAAATGAGCTTTAAAATAGACAAAGATTTATCCAAAAGTCTTTATTCAGCTGCCACATCATGAAAGTGTACTTCATAGTTACAATATAGAAAATAACACCGTAAATCCATTGACTGCTTAATTTATATTCTTTGTGCAGTAATTCTTATTCTGTATAAGTGCCGTTTTTTGACACAATATAAATACCTTGGTGAAAAAGCCACCGTGGAGTCAAACACGAGCAAACAAACACTTGGTTAATGAGTTTTGAATCGGGTCTCAGTCCTGAAAACAATTTTTTTCCTGTTCCTTATGCATATTCTTCTTAATACCACTTACAGGCTACACAAAGCAGTGGAGAAAACCCTTTCCTTTGATTCCAACAGTTTTTTTCATAACAAAACAGACATTTCTAACACAGTATAACAAGCCTTATTTCAGATTGGCCATCTAAAGATAATGACATATACTCATTAAGAGGTGTAATTTGGCTCAAGAGCTATTAGAGGAGAACTGAAAGGCTGTACAAGAAATGACTGCTGAGCTGGCATCTGTTTGGCAGGAATACAACCAACACGGGTCTAATCATAACCCCATCACAGAGGGAAACACGGCTGTACCTGCAAAGAGAAAGAGCATCGAAAGTTCATCAAACAACATTTGTTAAAAAAAAAACGAATATGATTTTTTTTTTAGAAAATGATATGCACATGCTTTGTTATACAGTTAAATTGAAATATTTCAGTTTTTGCAATTATAAAGATAGACACAACTACTATTCAGGATGATTAACTGGCCAGTATTTGGTCAATATTTGGCCTTCTTGGGCAAATAGGAATAGTTCACCTAACAATGGAAATATGTAAAAATGTACTTATTTTAAAGGAACAGTTTACCCAAAAATGAAAATGTTTAAATTATTTAATCACCCTGAGGCCATCCAAGATGAGTTTGATGGACTGGAGTCGTATGGATCACTTGTGGATTATTGTGATGTTTTTATCAGCTGTTTGAACTCTCATTCTGACAGCACCCATTCACTGCAGAGGATCCAGCAAGTGATGCGATGCTAAACTTTATGCAAATCGTTTCTGATGAAGAAACAAACTCATCTACATCTTGGATGGCCTGAGGGTAAGTACATTTTCAACCAATCTTCATTTTTTGTGTGAACTACTCCTTTAAAAGTAGGGTTACCTCTTCATTGTGTTAGTTACAAAATCTACTGACAGCCTTGCTTATGGATAATATTATATTATACATTTGTATCTGCATTTGACAAACCTATATCGCTCAACTGTGAATGCGTTGCAAAACTTTTTTTTTTAAACAACTGAACAGCCTCTAAAAATACACTATATAAAAACACTAATATATATTACATAAAATAATCTCACTGCCTTGTCAGTGATTCGTACTTTTTGGGCTACCTTGACCATCTGCAGAGTCAATGTCTGGAACTTTCCAGTCTAGCTTGCGTCCTTTCTCATAGAGAGCCTTGAGAACCTTCCGGAACTCCTCTTGTCCTCCATTATGACTCAGCTCCAAGTACTTCCTGTACAACTGTAGGGCAGTCCGTGCATCTTCGATACTATCATGAGTTTCGCTCTGAATGTTCAGATCTGAACAAATGTTCAAATAGCCATAAAACACTGATACATAGAAAATGACATATGAGGTCAAGAGATAAGGGAAAGTTTATGGGTCATTCCGTGTCAACTCAACCAGCTCAAAATTTTTGATTTCGCTAATATTTTTTCTGAAGAAAGACATACATGTATAGTGACGAAAGTCAAAATCTTAAATGTCATGAATAAATATTTACTGAGTAATCCACTATTTTGTAGAGGGGGGTCAAAAAGGCAATTTTCACCTGAGATTCAGAGCCAAATAACAAGGGGGTAAAAATGACTTCAGAAAGATGGCAGCATCATAATGTTACGTTATTTTTACACAGAGATTGGTGGGTCTGTTAATAAAATCTGTGGACTTTAGCAATCTGTGTTTCATTATGTGCCAATGGTGACCATTCAAAAATGGGGAAACAGCACTTTTCAAGTTTTTTCTCCAAAGTTTGCAGTCCTGGAACTCAAGAAGTATTAAAGATATCTTGATGCCGTTTTAGATATTGGGTCTTAAAATTTTTTGAATGGTCACCATTATGACCCTTTCATGAATCATGACCCTTATGCAAGAAACCTACCGAGAAAGTACCATGCGAGGAAACGCAGAGAAATCATTCGTTTCCGAGGCATGTGGAAGAGGTAGACGGTGTCAATCACCTGTTCTTTTGGAACCTAAAAATGTGAGGGGTTACAATTTAAACACTTCCAACATACTAAATAAAATATTAACTCACAAAAATTCCACTCACCATCAAGTTTATGACCCGGAAATCTTTCTGTAACCCGTGGCCGACAAAGCGAACGCCAGTGTCGATAAGAAATCGCAATTTCAAATATGTAGATTTCAGAGTAGTCAAATGTTTAGAGGAAATCTTTGCATCCAGGTCTCCAGGTTTGATACCAGAGTACTGGGTCAGGTAGTCCACCACCTGTACATCCAAAGAGGTTAAATTAGTAAGAAGTTTTTCCCAACATTACAAAAACACAGAAAGTATGGAAATCACTAGTACACTAATAGTTATTCCCTATGATTCACCTTACAATTAAATTATTCAAAAATATTCACTGTCACAAGTGACACTAACAAATAACATATCTCACCTGACAAGGCACAAAACTGTGGTTCTCACTTTATGAGGTAATTAAAAGGTCCTGATAATTTCAAAAGGTAATTTCCCTATTATGTGAGTTACATTTAGAATGATTCTACTGATTTATGACCTGTTCCTGTGTTGATATGTAGTCATCAATGAACGGCACTCCCTCATTGGTTCCCTGGCCTCTCACGCATGTGATACGAGCAACAGACATCTGGCTGGGCTTAATGGTGGACTTAGTCCCGTCACTGCGCAGTTCTGCCTCTTCCTGTTCAAGCAGCAACACACAAAAGCATGAAATATTTGGGGTAGGAGAAAATTGTTTGTTTGTTTATGATTTAACGCCATGCGAGCTACCTCGTTTTAAACAACTGAACAGCCTCTAAAAATACACTATATAAAAACACTAATATATATTACATAAAATAATCTCACTGCCTTGTCAGTGATTCGTACTTTTTGGGCTACCTTGACCATCTGCAGAGTCAATGTCTGGAACTTTCCAGTCTAGCTTGCGTCCTTTCTCATAGAGAGCCTTGAGAACCTTCCGGAACTCCTCTTGTCCTCCATTATGACTCAGCTCCAAGTACTTCCTGTACAACTGTAGGGCAGTCCGTGCATCTTCGATACTATCATGAGTTTCGCTCTGAATGTTCAGATCTGAACAAATGTTCAAATAGCCATAAAACACTGATACATAGAAAATGACATATGAGGTCAAGAGATAAGGGAAAGTTTATGGGTCATTCCGTGTCAACTCAACCAGCTCAAAATTTTTGATTTCGCTAATATTTTTTCTGAAGAAAGACATACATGTATAGTGACGAAAGTCAAAATCTTAAATGTCATGAATAAATATTTACTGAGTAATCCACTATTTTGTAGAGGGGGGTCAAAAAGGCAATTTTCACCTGAGATTCAGAGCCAAATAACAAGGGGGTAAAAATGACTTCAGAAAGATGGCAGCATCATAATGTTACGTTATTTTTACACAGAGATTGGTGGGTCTGTTAATAAAATCTGTGGACTTTAGCAATCTGTGTTTCATTATGTGCCAATGGTGACCATTCAAAAATGGGGAAACAGCACTTTTCAAGTTTTTTCTCCAAAGTTTGCAGTCCTGGAACTCAAGAAGTATTAAAGATATCTTGATGCCGTTTTAGATATTGGGTCTTAAAATTTTTTGAATGGTCACCATTATGACCCTTTCATGAATCATGACCCTTATGCAAGAAACCTACCGAGAAAGTACCACGCGAGGAAACGCAGAGAAATCATTCGTTTCCGAGGCATGTGGAAGAGGTAGACGGTGTCAATCACCTGTTCTTTTGGAACCTAAAAATGTGAGGGGTTACAATTTAAACACTTCCAACATACTAAATAAAATATTAACTCACAAAAATTCCACTCACCATCAAGTTTATGACCCGGAAATCTTTCTGTAACCCGTGGCCGACAAAGCGAACGCCAGTGTCGATAAGAAATCGCAATTTCAAATATGTAGATTTCAGAGTAGTCAAATGTTTAGAGGAAATCTTTGCATCCAGGTCTCCAGGTTTGATACCAGAGTACTGGGTCAGGTAGTCCACCACCTGTACATCCAAAGAGGTTAAATTAGTAAGAAGTTTTTCCCAACATTACAAAAACACAGAAAGTATGGAAATCACTAGTACACTAATAGTTATTCCCTATGATTCACCTTACAATTAAATTATTCAAAAATATTCACTGTCACAAGTGACACTAACAAATAACATATCTCACCTGACAAGGCACAAAACTGTGGTTCTCACTTTATGAGGTAATTAAAAGGTCCTGATAATTTCAAAAGGTAATTTCCCTATTATGTGAGTTACATTTAGAATGATTCTACTGATTTGTTCCTGTTTCCTGTGTTGATATGTAGTCATCAATGAACGGCACTCCCTCATTGGTTCCCTGGCCTCTGTGATACGAGGCGAGAACGAGGTTAGTTAAGTTAAATTAAGTTTTTAAATTTGATCTTAGATAAAAATTCTAAAACTAAATCTGGCCTTACTTCATTAAAAATCTTTCCATAAAAGTCAACAGAAAAATAAAGAGTTCTGACAGACTTTAAACTATTACAATCCATCAAAATATGCTTCAAAGATGGGTAGGAGAAAATACGTCAAAAAATGTCAGTAATTATAGAACAGGGGTGGCGAACGTCAGTCCTGGAGAGCCGCAGCCCTGCAGAGTTTTGCTTCAACCCTAATCAAACACACCTGAACAAGCTAATCAAGGTCTGAAGGGTTACTAGAAAGCTACAGGCAGGTGAGTTTTAATTAGGGTTGGAGCTGAACTCTGCAGGGCTGCGGCTCTCCAGGACCAGAGTTCGCCACCGCTGTTATAGAACATTAAAGTGTTTCACACTGACCTGGTTGAGCGTGACAAATTCTGCATCCAATCCGACAAGGTCTGCAGCCTGCAGCATCTCATTCACCATTAGAGGTATGAAGGTGGCGTGACTCTTCCTCTGTTTCCGTGCCAACGAGGCCTCCGTCAGCAGAACGCTGGCATCAATAGGGTTCTTAACTAGGAGGAAATGGAGAAGATGCAGGAATAATTAAAACAGATGCTCATCAAGGCTGCATTTCTTTGATCAAAAATACAGAAAAAACAGTAATGTTGTGAAATTTTATTACAATTTTACAAATCATTCTAATATGCTAATTTGATGCTCAAGAAACATTTCTTATTATTTTCAGTGTTGAAAATAGTTTTGCTGCTTAATATTTTTTGTGGAAACCATGGTATGTTTTTTTCCAGAAATATTTGATAAATAGAGAGTTCAAAAGAAAAGCATTTTTTTGTAACATAAATCACTTTATTCTCATTTTTTTAAATCAATTTAATGCATCTCTGTTAAATAAAATAATTTAATAAAAAAAATACTGCCCCTAAATCCTTGAACAGTAGTGTATGCATATTATAAATGTTCATAATTTTAATAAAATGCAAACTCTATAAAAGTTTTGTGATAGCACTGATACATTTTAGTGAGAAGACCAAAAGTACATTCTGTGAGATGAATGATCACATACTTCGCAAATCATACTTGGGATGGTAGTTCCTCTTGACGTAGTAAAGTACAGCAGGAACCTTCCAGTTCACATCAAACTGAGCTGATTCTGCCTAATGGAGACATATTGCAACACAATTCAGGGTCACATATGACGCATTTCCAGTGGGAATACAGAACTCGCTGTGCGAGTACACACTTTTCATAATAGGAAAAGTTGGAATTTGCCTGATGTTTGGTATTTTTACCTTGTCAATGGGCTCAATCAGAAAATCATTGAACAGATACCACTGCTGGTGTGTTACTCCCTGAAAGCAAGACAGAAAACACAGTTTGTCCCTTATGTCCAACATATTATGTCAAAAATCTAGCAAGTACTTTAAAGATTTGCTCATACCTCTTTCCTTTGATGGTAGGTCTCGCCCACTTTGATATGTGCTACCAGGTTCCCTCCGGTCCGAGCATCCTGGATATGAGATACGATGGCGACCAGGTCATAGACAGACGCTCCTTCTGCCTCTTCACTTTCAGTCAGCTATGAGAAGAAACAAGACACATTTTATTTGAGCAAGGTCATTTAAAAAAACTTAAGAGTCATCTTTCCCAGGTATGACATATCTTGATGTGGTTAATGAAGTTCACCCTTTGAAACAGTGAAAAGGTGTTCCTCACCTCCTCTCCCTCAGACAGGCTGCTGACCTCCAGGCCCTGAGTCTTACTAATGCACATCTTCAGACTGAGAGGGATCCACACGTGCCTCATATCCTCCGCTTGCGTGTCGAAGGTAACGCCCTCCACGCTGCACAGCTCTTCCCTGTACATGATTTATATATTATTATACATAAAACATATAGACAGATGCATTTCTACAATCAGCACACTTACTCTAAACACCATTCTGTCGGTAAAGGTTCTTTGGGTTTGGGAGGTTCAGCTGCTTCTTTCTTTAGAGCTTTGTTGTACGCATACTGTTAACAAAAAAAATGAATGAATGGAAAATTAAAACAAATCAGTTTGCCTAGAGTGTCACACACCAAAAACATACAGATCAGCTGAATGAACAGGATGTTGCATTGCTAATACACCACTGACATATGACAGAAAAATATAATATAACAAAGACATCTTTAAGTAATGACTCCAACGGCTGTGTAAAGCATTAGAGGATATTTAAGGGTGGATTTATGGCTGAATTTTGTAAATGCATGACTATATATCCTGGCAACAAGAGGGGATATGAGTCTAACCTCAGTCTGTGTTTTCCAGAACTCTGCTTCCTTAGCGCTGTTCACCTCACAGTTGATCACCAGAACATCAGGCAGACAGCGAATGTTCCTGGTCTGCACCTAAAAATACATAAATATTTAGTATTTTGTGCTTCTACACTTTTGGTTGGTAAGATTTTTGAAACAAGTTTTTGAAGTATGCCTCTTCTGCTCACCAAGGCTGCATTTATTAGATCAAAAATAAAGTAAAACCAGTAATATTGTGAAATATTATTACAAAATTAAAAAAAACTGTTTTTTATTTTGATATATAATAAAAGTCAGTGTCACATGATCCTTCAGAAATCATTCCAATATGCTGTTTTGGTGTTTTTAATTTATTATTATTATCAATGTTAAAAATTCAGCGTAAACAGCCTTTATTTGATTTTAAATCATTGTTAAAAACATATCTTTTAACTTAGGCTTTTAATCTCTCTGGGTGTTGAGTTATATGTTCTTGGTGTTTTCTTCTGTATGATCTTATTGTCTTTGTATATTTATAAAAAATGTCTCTATCTTTGTACAGCACTTTGGGCAACAATGGTTGTATTAATTTGTGCTATAGAAATAAATGAGAGAGAAAGAAAAAAAAAGAAAGAAAGAAATAGCCTTCGATTTAATGCATCCCTGCTGAAAAAAGTATTAATTTCTTTCAAAATAAAAATCTAACTGACCTCTATTTTTTTTTAGCGTTTTGAACGTGTATATATAGATAGGCATGTAAAAACCTACTGTTGGCTGGTATTTCTCACAGTTGTCACACCAGGCCTGTGTGCTTTGCTCCAGACATATACTCTTCTTTAGGATTTCTGCGAAGTCATATTCCTCTATCATCTTATCTGTCAAAAATCAAAGAGATCATTTAATGAATTAACTCAGTTTATAAAAGAAGAAAGATGTATTCATGTGTGAATGTTTGGTGGTTCTGACCTAGAGAGCTCTGCTCAGGGTAGTGTATGGTAAACAGCAGAGTCAAGGAGGAGCGAACCGTCTCCTTTCCACAGCGACACAAACTGCTGTTCTCCACTTCACAGCCAAACAACCGGCCAATCACAGACTCCCCCGAGGAACCCAGTGTGCTGCCGTGGAGACAAAACCTAAATTGTTCTCGACTTCGTTCTTGTGTGAATTATTGCATTGAATTCAAGAATGATGCTCCACACCTGCTGCTGGCTCCTCTGTATGCCTGCGGCCCTTCCTGCTCCAGTGTTTCCTGATGCAGCTGTGCAAGAATGAAACGGTTCCAGCTCTGGATGAGACGGCCTAGACGGGCTTTCCCTGTCTGCTCATCAGAGTCAGCTAGGATCAAACCTAACGCTGACGCCTCCGGGATTGTCCGGAAAGCCCGGAGAAAATTACTGGCCTGTTAAGAAAACAAACAAGTGCTTTGTGCATGTGCATATGCTATGCACGGCTGACAGCTCTGAAGGCATTGATACAGCTGGGATGAATTCTGATTGAATTGAATGTGTTAGTGCACCTGGCAGGGGTCTCCTCTGCTCAAGTCCAGCATGTGGAACAGGAATCCCAACTCACAGGCCAGACAGAACTCCTTCTGACACAAATGATTCTGTACCAGGCACCTGACTGGCTCCTATTTGAATACTGCAATTTTTCTCTCTTTTTTGACTCATAATGTGGTTGGATTGCCAATGTAAAAAAACATGTTTGGACAAAATTGGATTAAAAATGTGACCTAAGTTTACATCTTCTATGAACAAACTCTAAATAAATACTTGTACAACAAATTAAATGTAATAATACATATAAAATTGATATAAAATAGCACTTGTATCTCAATGTATCTTCAAGCATGCATCTTTTACTTGTTATTTTAAAATATTTATATATACACAACTGTTCAAAACTTGATGTCAGAAATAAATTAAAACTTTTATTCAGTAAGGATGCATTAAATTGATCAAAAGTGACAGTAAAGAATTTACAATGCTACAAAATATTTTTTTTTTCAAATAAATGCTGTTTATTTTTAGTCATCCAATCCAAAAATATAAAGCAGCAAAATGGTTTTCAATGTTGTTGATATTAATATTAAATAATAATAATAATAAATGTTTCTTGAGCATATTAATTGTCATATTAAAACAGAAAAGACTGGAATGATGGCTGCTGAAAATTCTGCTTTGCCATCACAGGAATAAACTATATTAAAATATATTAAAATGAAAAAATGTAATTGTAAAAATTGCACTAATATTTCACAACATTACTGTTTTTACTATATTTTGATAAAATAAATGCAGCTTTTGTGAGAATTCTTTCAAAAACAATATCTTACTGACCCTAGTGTATATACGAGGTGTAGTCATACCTGGGGCTGGGTGTGATAAGGGAGGTGGGCCAATCAGAGAGCAGGGGCTCGGTACTGGTGAGGGGCATGGGTAGAAGAGACAGAGGCATGAGCTCATGGTTCCAGTCCAGCTGGGGCAGGGAGTCCACCAGGCAGGGTAGCGCTAACTCTGTCTCCCTGGAGTAACTGTTAAAGGACACCTCTGGGGCGCTGGACCACAGGTGCACACAGCCACCAGAGTCCCCAAAGGAGAGCGCCTGTTTGCTGGAGGACACATCAAAGCTCATCAGCAGCTGCCCCACAGTGTTGACGTGGAAGATATCAGCCAGATTGGCCAGGCCGGTGGGCTCGCAGAACTGACACTGACCTACAGACACAAAGACACAGACTCGCACACCAGGATCTCAGTGACAAAAAAATAATCACAAATATTTTTGTAAAAGCCATGTTGTAAATATGTATATTTAAAAAAACAACCAAAAAGTAAATAGACTAGTACAGGACAGTAACAGTGCTTATTACAAATCAGACATCTGATTCAACTTTTAAACTCAAGACCAAAAGGCTTTTCACCCGGTTTTTTTTTAATTTTTTTATTTATAAAATGTACTTATAAAATTGTATTTACAATTATTGTAATTAAAACAGTCTTAAGACTTTTATTTTTATGCAATCTTTTATTCTTTTTTATTTACAATATAATTAATAAATAATTAATTTCAAAATAATGATTTTATGTTTAACCTGAAACCTTTAAAAAAACATTTAATAACTCTGCATTTCTAATGACGTTTCCTTCCCTTTTTTGTTTTGAATAAAACCAAAACCCACCAACATTTTGTTCATTTTCTACTTGGAAATACAACACAATTACAATTGTTAAACGCATCGAGTCAGAATGTTTTCAAGCCAAGTACTTTGTAATGCATGTCTGCACCTTCAGCATGATTAGTTCATGTGACCCACGCCTGAAAATCTATGTGGACAACATGACAACCACCAAAGGGGAAATGAAAGTAAGGTGGGACTTTTGAATGCTGAAAAACTGCAATAACATCAGTAAGCTTCAGAAGAAAAGAACTAGATTTAAGGTGAGGCTGGGAACAACAACGGTAATCCAAAGAAGACCACTACTGGATGATTAAAATACTTCACAAGTTGCAAACAAAAACCCCCAACATTTCTTCAACACATCAGGGACAGTTGGCAGTTGGCACTTGGGTGTGGCAACCACACCAATACCATCCTGTGTATTTTTCATAGTATTTTATTCTGCAAATTACCATTAAAGTTCTCCTTTTAGTGACAACAGTTAGGTAAATACCACCAGTACTACCAGCTTCGTGACATACACGTCCATGCATCATACCTGTTTGTGAAATGATAGCCAGGCGGGAGGTGTATGTGGGGATGAAGCGGAGGAAAAGGGGATCCACGTGGACCTGCAGTGGGGTGATGGCCCTCATCATGCGCAGATCGTACACCATGAGGAACCGGTCACATGACAGTCCATTCAGGCCACGGCTCGAGAAGCCACACGCTGCCAACAGGTTACCGTGTATGTCGAAATCAGACAGGCTGCCAGAGAACGCGTCAAATTCGTGCTCCATTTTAAATGTGCGTAGATCACGCAGAGACACCTATGACAAATAATTGACACAAATTCACAAATGACAATGAAGAGATTAAATTAATGTTGATTACTATATATTTTACTACATACTGCAGAGATTATATAAGGTTATACATATAGATGAATGCATTTGAAAAATAATTTCATTATGTCATCTGTCATTATCCATAAATCTATGCCAGAATATAAGGTTAATTATCTATTTTATAGGCTATATGTTTAGATATAGTATATGGTCGCCAATTAAAAATGTTCAGTCATCATTTAGCTTTTTCTCAGTTTAATATATATATGTCTATACATATATATATATATATAAATGTAAAAAAAAATTAAATTTTTTAAATTATATTTAAATAAATGTCAACTACATGCTGGAAAATGACATTAACTGCATCTACTAATGAAATACTAAAATCTTTTTCCATGTTTTTCAATAAACCACCATATAAGTTGTTATGGTGAGACAGATGGATCCATGCACATTAAGCTCTTTCACTTAATTTTGTGGCCAAGCTGAAAATTCCAACTACTAAATATTCTGAATTGATCAGCCTGTGAGAAAATTAGGAATGTGTGAAAGCACAAAAAGAAAAAGCCCTATGTATTCTACCTGTGTTTACAGCTAAAGTGTAGGCAGCATGTTCCCACATTAGCTCAGAGCAAAACTTTTCATACACAACATCCCTCTATTCTGTGGGAAAAGCGAAAGGAGGAAACAATTTGTTCCACATCCATTTTCGCTTTACTCCTTCACTCACCTTGCCAGATGTGTGACCACAAAAGAAGAAGCGATTGGACTGTCTCATGATGGCTACTCCAGGTACCTCAACAGTAAACTAGAGTGACAGTGGAAATGAAATGTCAGGAAAAGATCTCTGACTCTTTTATTACTGAAACATCCTCTAATCTATTATAGATAAGTGTAAAATTCCCATTAAGTATATCCCACAAAAGCCATAAGTGACAAAGATAATAAAATTAAAAGAAAACTTTTTGCTATATATACTTGTATATATTAGTGCTGTCAAACGATTAATCACGATTAATCACATACAAAATAAAAGTTTTAGTTTGCATAATATATGTGTGTTTTCTGTGTATATTTATTACGTATATATAAATACATACACATACAGTACATATTTTGAAAATATTTACATGTATTTACATGTCTATCTTTATATTCATATAATTTATATTATAAATAAATATATTTAATATATAAACATAACCTATTTTTGTGAAATATATACATGTGTGTGTGTGTATTTATATATACATAATAAATATACACAGCACACATACATATATTATGTAAACAAAATATTTTATTTTGGATGCGATTAATTGTTTGACAGCACTTTTATATATATATATATATATATAATTATATATATAAGTGCTATATATATATATATATATATATATATATATATATAAAATGTATCATTATTTTATAATTCAATTCATTTATTTATTCAATTATCTTTAAAAATAATTAAATGATTTAAAAAAATATTAATTTGATAAAACTGAACTATAAAATGTACATTTAATTTTTTACCTTTATTCTTTTATTTTTATTTTAAAAACGTTCATTAATAAATGCTATATAAAACAGGTACAGTTTGTTTTAAAGTATTACTGAAGGAGTGTTGTATCATCCTACTTTTTGTGTTTCCTGTACTGTTGTGAGGACCAATTCGGCCACATAGTTCTGCCGACCCCCCATTAACAATGTGTTATTATCGGTCAGAATCAAACTGTGCATGTCAGCACCCTCCTCCGTTCTGAAAAAAAAAAAAAACAATGAATGAATGAACACCCACACATAGGCATACATAAGCAAATAAAACCTTTTATTACAGTATTCGCAGGGTATGCCTGTGTTCTGCATGACATTATGCTTTGAGGGTTTCCGACAAAGACGTGCTAGTATGGACATGATACCTGCATTTACATCTTCAAACAATCATTATAGTATATGTGGGTGTGCAACTCACGTATAATCAAACATAATTAAACCTCCTCGCGTGAGGCATTTGAGGTTGTTTTTGGTCAGAAACAGCACCCCTGTGTCCATACTCTGGATGTGGCGAATATCATCGGTCATGTGCACTTGGAAAGAGGAGTAGCGGCCCATTGTCGGACCAAAGAAGGAACTTGCATGTCCCTGTTACGAAACAGAGGAAAGAACAAACACACACACACCCAGGTCAGTAATGCGGCTCATGCTTGTGAATAAAGTGACATCACCATTTCAGTGTGGAAGTACATCAGAGATGATGCATTCAATGGTTATCAAAACCACAGCTGAATTTTTGGAGCGAGATTAGACTTTAGCCTTAAATGTCCCAACTTCAATAGAAACATTTATCCATTCATGCAGAATTTTTGGTGAAAACACTTGCTAGGTATACTGATTCATTTTACAGCTCTGCATATTATTTGAGTAGATGAAGTAGTAGGCTACACGGCTGGTCAGATGTTTGGAATAATAATTCCTGTACTTCATCATCTCTTCCTGCTTTAGCTTTATCCAAATTGCCCATTTGTATTTCATTGTGTACTCAATGCCCAGTCGTAGCAAATACCCTCCAGATTTGGTTTCAATTTAGACAATGTTTTGGTTTCAAAGACTTCTCCATAGCCAGCCCTATATGCAAGAATCACCTATTCCTTCCAGCTCAATTGGACTCAGTCTTCAGTCAGTGGCAACAGTAGGGTCTTGTCAAATTAAGTGATCTTTTTATTGATGATGTTTTTGCCCCATTCTCAACACTCTCCTCAAAATACAATCTGCCAGATCACACTTGTTTAGACATTTCATCATCTAATCCAAAACCATTGGACTTGAAATCAAGTAAACCATCTTTAGTTTCACTCTGGCTTAGTGATGTGATGCTGTTTTTGAAATGGGAGAAAATTAAATATTCTCTTAGAGGATCCACCAAACGTTTTTATTCAGCATGGACTCCAATGATTACATATTTTGAAAAGGGCATAACTATTCCCTCAAACTAAAATTAATAGTGAAATTAAAATGCTTGTTGCACATTGAAATGGATCACGCAATCAGACACAATAGGCTAACAATAATGTCAAGTATTTCATCATTGTTTGTAATATCAAAACTTCGAGATTTTGTTTTTCCATTTTTGGAATTTGTTTTTATTTATTAAGATTATTCATTGTTTTTTTGTGGGTTGTAGGTCTGTAATACGTCACTCTGTTCTTCCTTCAATAAAAATATTAATTTCAAAAAAGTTTGGAATCGTTTTGATTTTTTTATGTTTTTGAGTAAGTCTCTTATGCTCACCAAGGGTGCATTTATTTGATAAAAAAAATACAGTAAAACCATAATATAGTTAAATATTATTACAATTTAAAATAACTGTGTTCTATTTGAATACATTTTGAAATGCAATTTATTCCTGTGATGATAAAGCTGAATTTTCCATTACTCCAGTCTTCAGTGTCACATGATCCTTTAGAAATCATTCTACATAAAATGTTACCATGAAAACGTGCTAGATTTTTTAAATTATTTAATTATTTATTTCTTTTTACCAAATTTATCTAATATTTGCTTTTACAAACCCAGTTAACTGCCTACCTAGACAGCATTTTTAGGCATCATGAGTTCAACAGGCACATTCCAATTCTGAATTAAGCGCCTATGCTTCCTAAAACTGCTGTCTAGGTAGGCAGTTCACTAGGTTTGAAACACAGCAATACTGTTGCACACTTCAATGCCCAGTCGTAGCAAATACCCTCCAGATTTGGTTTCAATTTAGACAATGTTTTGGTTTCAAAGACTTCTCCATAGCCAGCCCTATATGCAAGAATCACCTATTCCTTCCAGCTCAATTGGACTCAGTCTTCAGTCAGTGGCAACAGTAGGGTCTTGTCAAATTAAGTGATCTTTTTATTGATGATGTTTTTGCCCCATTCTCAACACTCTCCTCAAAATACAATCTGCCAGATCACACTTGTTTAGACATTTCATCATCTAATCCAAAACCATTGGACTTGAAATCAAGTAAACCATCTTTAGTTTCACTCTGGCTTAGTGATGTGATGCTGTTTTTGAAATGGGAGAAAATTAAATATTCTCTTAGAGGATCCACCAAACGTTTTTATTCAGCATGGACTCCAATGATTACATATTTTGAAAAGGGCATAACTATTCCCTCAAACTAAAATTAATAGTGAAATTAAAATGCTTGTTGCACATTGAAATGGATCACGCAATCAGACACAATAGGCTAACAATAATGTCAAGTATTTCATCATTGTTTGTAATATCAAAACTTCGAGATTTTGTTTTTCCATTTTTGGAATTTGTTTTTATTTATTAAGATTATTCATTGTTTTTTTGTGGGTTGTAGGTCTGTAATACGTCACTCTGTTCTTCCTTCAATAAAAATATTAATTTCAAAAAAGTTTGGAATCGTTTTGATTTTTTTATGTTTTTGAGTAAGTCTCTTATGCTCACCAAGGGTGCATTTATTTGATAAAAAAAATACAGTAAAACCATAATATAGTTAAATATTATTACAATTTAAAATAACTGTGTTCTATTTGAATACATTTTGAAATGCAATTTATTCCTGTGATGATAAAGCTGAATTTTCCATTACTCCAGTCTTCAGTGTCACATGATCCTTTAGAAATCATTCTAATATGCTGATTTGCTGCTCAAAAAAAAAAAGTTGCTTCTTCATATTTTTGTGGAAACCGTGATACCCCAAACTTTTGAATGACAGTGTAATTTTTATATTTTTATTCAGCAAGGGCACATTCAATTGATTACATTTGATAACAAATACATTTATGTTAAAAAAGATTTATATTCCAAATAAACAGTTCTTTTGATCTTTATATTAATCAAAGAATCCTAAAAAATATATCACTGTTTCACAAAAATACAGAGCAGCAAAAACTGTTGTCAGTATTAATAATAAGACCATTATTAATAAATGAGCCCCAATAATAATTAAGCACCAAATCCGCATATTGGAATAATTTCTGAAAGATCACGTGACACTAAAAACTAGAGTAATGGCTGCTGAAAATTCAGCTTTGCCAACATAGGAATTAGATCTTAAAATATGTTAAAATAATTATTACAATTTTTAATTGTAGTTATATTTCACAATATAAGTGTTTTTCAATTAAATGCAGCCTTGGTGAGCATAAGAGACCTCTTTGAAAAACATTTAAAAAAAAAAATAATTATTCCAAACTTTTGACTGGTAGCGTAAATGCAGCAATAAATGTGTGACTTCACCCGGTGGTTCCCCATCCACAGCAGCTCCTCCTGCAGATCGAAATGTGTTGCCGTCACAGGGATCCCAACTTCAGCAGCCACGCTGTGCAGCTCCGAGTACATGCCCTCCACTATGTGCATGGATTCGGACACGGGAACAGCCAATGCGTCGGGGTCGAGCTCCACGCCCTGCAGCAGCGCTGGGTCGAGCCGCGGGTCCATTGAAGAGTCCAGGCCGGGCGTGTACTCGCCCAAACCCGGGTCCAGACCCTCAAAGTTCATCATGAGGATGGTGGTGCTGGGTTAGAGGGATAGGAAATGGGGTCAAGGGGTCCTTTTGTGTCCCTTAAAAATATATATGACTTATTGTTATGTTTTTCTATGTGTATATATGTCTATTTCTATGTGTATATAATACAAGTATTGTTCTTAAAACATCAAACAAATATATATATTAAATATATAAGACAGCATTTTTAGGCATCATGAGTTCAACAGGCACATTCCAATTCTGAATTAAGCGCCTATGCTTCCTAAAACTGCTGTCTAGGTAGGCAGTTCACTAGGTTTGAAACACAGCAATACTGTTGCACACTTCGTGGAAAAACGGGATGTTATTGCATCGAAGCGTGTGACTGTTTTCCGGTATTCTACCGCAGTGTATTCAAATAATGATTATAGCGTAATCTTTTAAAATGCGCGTGCAAAAATACATCCGAATAAAAGAGAGAAGTTATTCAATTTCTGTGCATGGCACGTCTGACATCTATACTCGGGATTTCAGTTCGTTTATAAAGTTCTTTCAACAAACTAGCAGGAAGGGACTTAAATTGTGAATTGTGAATATTTAACAGGATAAATCATACCTCTAAAATACGGTTATCCTCGGATCCATATGCTCATACTACTCGCTTCATTCAAAACAATAACAAGCACGCACTTCCGGGTTAGATCAAACTGCATCCGGAATCATCATAGGGGCTTTAAGAGTGTTTGAAATTAAAATATTATTTAAGTTAAGAACATTAGATTCTGTCTATCTATCTATCTATCTATCCAGGGGCGTAATTCCCACTGGGGACAGGAGAGACATGTCCCCCCCACTTTTCAAAATCACGTTTGTGTCCCCCCCACTTTAAAATTCGTTTGTTATGATTTTGTAACCGCACGCCGGAGGAGCAGGACCGAGCAGGGCACACTCTAAAAAGCGCTCACTGAAAGTTCTAATGAGCAGGTATCGCGGTTGCGGCACAGTCAGCGATGAAACGCCAGAAGCAGCAACAGATGACTTTAATGTCATCATGGATGAAAAGAAAGAAAGAAAGAAAGAAAGAAAGGAGAGTTGGTTGATTCAGTAAATTAGCTGAGGATAATCATATTTTCTGTCTACACCTGTTAATGTTAGCCTACAACGTTAACATACACTGTTGCTAGGTAACAGAATGTTGTTAGCTAAATATTTAATGTAGAACAGTGGTTCCCAAACTGGGGTACGTGAGGCTACAGAGGGGGTACGCGAACAAAATGCTGAGTTTTGCGGCGTTTCGTGAAAATCATTGATTTCAATGATTAATTTATAAATACAGCCACTTGCTTAGTTACTGAATGAACAAATGACTCGATGACTCGCGCATTAAGACAGTGACTTACCGCCACCTACTGGCGGTTTTAGTATTTAAAAGAATCACTTTCCACTTTTTTACCATCATTGCATATTAATATATTGAACTTTTTTTTTTAAACATTAATATTCTATTTATAAAGATAAAAAATGCATTGGAAAGTCAATTTAGGGGGCAAATATTGTCCTTTAATGGAAAAGGTGCAGTCTAAGTGGAAGAGGGGGTATGCAGAAATGCCTCAGGGGGTACTCCACTCTAAAAAGTCTGGGAACCACAGATGTAGAACATTCTGTCCAGTGCAACAAGTGATTTATTTGATATTTTCAGGTACAGTGGTTAGTTTGAAATAAAAGTTTGTTTAACAGTGGAAATTGAGTCTCACATTATTTAAACATTAATGGTGAACATTTTCGACTTTATAAAATGATTCTCTCAAGTTTGGCGATCGGCCCCTATTCAACAATGAAGAAAGTAAGACATCTTTTTCTTATACATAGTTTAGTAGCCTACTATTCTTTTTGGCAGAATTGATCATTAATCAACTTAATTATTTCCTGGATTTTGTATCACCATAGTCCCTAAATGTATGTACATGCAGGAGATTCAAATCGAAAACATTTTCCCCCATTTTGTGTCCCAACCCCCCACCCCCCACTTCTCAAACCAAAGTTACACCCTTGTATCTATCTATCTATCTATCTATCAAAACAGAAATTAGCCTGTATAATTATGTGACTTGCATAATCTGTTGGCTCCAAAATACAAAGACTTTTGTTAATACAACTCAGTCTCAAATATGTCAGATAATAACACAAACAAATCATAAACCTTAAATATTTCCCTGACATGTTGAATGTATGGAAAAATTTCCCAAGTTTAAATGTGGTAGGGTTAGGCTACTTATTGATGAGATGGTCTGTAAGGTAGGACAGTTTGAAGACAAACATGACCAGAAGCTATAAAAAGTCAGCAGAAACTTATAGGATCAATCAAGGTAGATGTTTACATCACTACAAGCAGACAGCCGTCTTCAGGAAAGAAGAAATTTTGTGCTTGCTGTATGCACGGTTTGTGGACATAGTCTCACTTCCTCCCATAATAAAAAAAAAACTTTCAGATGAGGGAACTCATCTGATCTCATTCAGGATTCTAAGAAAAGTTGTTAGGTTTACAGCTTTGGAAGTTCTATCATTTCAGTTATAATGGGTGGATTGTTTTGCTATGTAGTAATGTCAATGAATTGGTGGAACATTTGTGAATGGGAAGACCTGCAGAGGAGATTTACCACCTTAAATTCTCATGAATCTTATATGTGCTTGGTCGAGGTGGAAGAAAATTCCTGTTACTATGTAATGCAGAGTTCTAAGTTAATGCAGGTTTTTGTCAGCAAAATAGAGGTACACTCCAAAAATACCTTGGCTCACAAGTCCATGTGAAACTCAGATCTCTACGTTATTTCAATAACTCCATCAACCAATCAATAAAAAATAAATACATATATAAGTCCAATAAATACAGATATAAATAGCTGGAGCTTATGTATGTAGTTATGTTAGTATAGCATGGTTCAGTATTAGGTCTATTTATTAAGTTACATCATCAGACTTCCCCTATCGCTTTTGTTGTGCCCTCTTTTTAGTACAGCACCTCAGTGGACTGGTTGATGGTAATTCTTTTAAATTTCAAATTTAATAGTTAACTAATAATATTTGTTAGAATATTTTCAAGAAAATTCCACTCATATATGACCTTACACCACAATCAGCACTAGTACCATAGGAAAAACATGTGTCAGAAATACAATAAACACATTAAATGTAAAAATGTAAAAACATAATTTATATGTGTGTGTGTGTTTGTGTGTGTGTGTGTGTGTGTGCATGTGTGTGTTTATGCTACATTGTGGGGAACAAATGTCTTCACAGGGATTGTAAAACCTGAAATGTTTGACATTGTGGGGACCGGCCTGCGGTCCCCACGAGGGAAAACAATTATTAAAAATAGTAAATGATGTTTATCTGAAAGTGTAACAAAGCAAACAGGTTTTCTGTAAGGGGTAGGGTTAGGGTTAGGGTTGGGTTAGGGGAAGCTGCTGAAGCATACGTATATGTTCATTTTTTAAATGTATTTATTTGAATTTTTATTTATTTATTTATTGCATTGAAACGTAAAAACTATATAATTGAATTTGATTAACAATTATTTAAAAATGTTATTTAAATGTTTGTTTAATTATTTTAAAATGTTTAAAATTTAATAAAATTTAAGATAATATGTTTGGATATAATGCAAAATTTATTTTTGGCCCAAGGCTATAACATACATTTGTTATTTGTAAAAAGGATATATACCTTTAAAGGGATACTTCTCCCAAAAATGAAAATTCTCCCATTAATATAAACCATCACTTATTTATAACAATTAATTGTCAACTTTTGGGTGAATATCCACTTGCATTATATGGACACAGAGATGGATTATTTTTCCAAAAATCTTTATCAGAAGAAGGTAAAGTCATATGGTGTGAAGTTAAATAAATGATGACAGAATTTTCATTTTTTGGGTAGACTATCCCTTCAAGACCCCCAAACCACAATTGGCCCCCATAATTAGCTAATAGGACTTAGCACCCTGGTTTAAACAATTCAAAAGATATTTAATGTATTTCACGTCTTTAAAGGTATCTCAAACTCAATTTTGATGGCGTCATGGGGCTACTCATAAAAATAATTATTATTATTTGAGCTCATCAAGGTTTTAAGTATTATGTTGAGCATCTTGGAGAATGAAATTTGAAGAACAACACTTTTTTTTTTTTTTTATGAAATCGAAACTCAAAGTAGCTACTTAGGCCAAGTCTCAGGCTACCTGTCGGGGGGAAATCCTGGTGACTCACCTCCCCACCATAAAAATGAGATGCAGGGGAGCCACTACAAGCAATTTGCCTTCTAAGCACTGCAGAAGAAAGGATACACTGTAACAGATTCTATAGGACATTTTGTAACTATGGCTTCATCATTATTATTGGTATTTTGCGTGGCGTTATCGGCGCTGTCAAGCGCCAGTGGAGCTCCTGCGCGCTCAGCTGGTGAGGTGAATTTCTCGGAGTGTAAAGCGCTGTCCATCAAACTCAATGAGATGGCGAGAGATTTATACATCACGGTACGTACATTAAGGATGATCTATTCAGTTTATAATAACTTATCTTCATTTCTTTTAAGGTTTTTTTCAGACACCTTCTTGAGTTCTTAATAATAATAACGCATTTTATGCTCAATGCAGGTTGAGTCTCCAAAAATTTCAAGTATCATTGATGACCCTCCAGTGTCTATAAGACCGATTGACACATGTGACCCACTGAGCCTCCAAATCAACAAAGAGGTAAATAACGGAATAATTCAGATGCATGTTTTTATAGTAATGATTTTCTCATTTCTCTTGTAGATCAACTATGTTAGGCTAGTGTAAAGCCATATTTAATTTTTGACAGGAATGAGAATATTTGTACTGCTATTTAACAACATTCCAATTGTTCACCTAATGAAGCGTTTTTAAGAAAAAATAGAAAAAAAAAAACTCCATAAAAGTTTTTGAAGTTGTGAAAATTATAAACTTTTATACAGCGTGAGCGATTGTAGTTGTAGCATCTCTCACAGCCTCATTTTCATCCACATAAAATTCAATATGACATCTAACCTGACTAAGGTCTATACCAGTGTTTCTCAACCCTGGTCCTGGGCACCCCCCAGCACTGCACATTTTGTGTGTCTCCCTAATCAAGCACACCTGATTCAACTCATTAGCTCATTAAAAAAGAAACTCCAGGACCTGAAATGGGTGTGTCAGATAAGGGAGACATACAAAATGTGCAGTGTTGGGGGGCGCTCAGGACCAGGTTTGAGAAACACTGGTCTATACAAAAAAGTGTTTACTTTGTCAAATGTTGTAATTTGTCCCTATGTGTCTTGCATTTCAGACTTGTCAATCAAGAATTGTTCTTGCTCTGAAAAACTACACCAGAATTTTCCACAAGAATGGCGTGTTTAAGAATTCAGCTTGCAGTGAGTGGAGAGCGCGTGCCAACGAGATCGCAGACGTTACCAGAGACCTCCTGCGCATGCTTAAGGTATAGGCCTATGTCTGTTTTTATTCAAAATCTTTGCTATTGTTTCATGTACTTCCTTTTGATATAATGTCTGGACACCTGCCACCAGCAAGAGGCACAAAGTTGTTCCCACATCCTTATCTGTTATCCTCCTGGAAAGTTTTGTATGTAAATTGTTGCTGCATCGGTTTCTCTAGTAAACACTTTTAATTTCATTATTGTTCTTGTTTGATGATCAGGAACCAGTGGTGGACCATCCTTTGACTGCAGTGAACTGGTATGACAACGCTCTGTGCCGGGACAGCATGGAAAGGCTCTACTCCTTTTCTATCATATCTGCACGCGTCTTCTCATTTCTGGCGTCCACAGAAGCTCCTAAAGTTGAGATGAAACAGTGTTAGATTGAGAGGAAAGAGACAGATACATATCAGTTGTGATCATATTGGTCAAAACGTTCAAACAGCTTTTGCTGCTTCTTCAAAGGTTCTCCTGTGTTATAATAACATGGATTTAATAACATCTTGCATTAACATTGAGTTCATGCTTGACATGAGGTGAAATATTTATAGAACTATTTCTTGTGTTATTTATTTCTATATTTATTGTCCAATTTTATTACAATGTGTAACATGTTTTTAAAGAACTTCCAAAGAAGTGTGTAATTTATAGCTAATAAATATATCAACAAGTCTTCTATTGTCTTCATTCATGTGTAGCCTATTTTTTGTTGAGGGAACAAAGAAATTAATTGAAGAGCTAACATGTAGGCAAATTACTTTTACTAGTACTACTGTACTAGTATACTCTAATCAACAAGGAAATGACTGAGCGAATGTGGTCAAATTTCCCAGTCTGGTCAACAGCTCTCTGTAAAAAGAGAGGGAAGATGTGATTTCCATAAACATTCATGCTACGTTTTACGGCGGTATGAAGCTTCCTGCAAAATATGTCCCAAACTCAGAGACTCTGTCGCCACTCAGTTCTCTCAGGAAAGTGTGTGTGTGTTGTCCTGCCAAGAATGAAGTCATACCTACAGAAGGGAACTTGGTTTACCAACAAACACACAAAACAAGCAAAGACAGAGTTCACATTATTGACTTATTACAGCACCGTTTTTTCCCTTTTGACAGGAAAGACACATAGAACAACAAATTTTAAATATATTTCAAAGAAAAATTTAAACAAACAATAGAGTGAAAGCATCATCATCAGATATATTCTGACATCACTGCTAAAATATCATTCTTATCATTCTTATTATTATAACATATGCTACATGTGTGAATTTTTTCCTGTGGTGTATGTGAAAAGGAAGTAGGAATCTTGCCGCTACCAGGGAATCTATAAAAACTCTAGATATCACCTCTGATAACTTCTTTCACTCATGAAATATTTTTAATACAGTCTATTAATATTTTTTTCAATGTTAAAAGTTTAATTTGTCAAATGTACAACATCAATGACAATGTCAGTACTTGTGGAAGTGTAATAAAATATACAAGCTTTACTACAAACTAAGAATTATGAAGATACAAACATATTAAAAGAAAAAAGTAATACAAACAGTAAATAATATTTATTTTATATTTTATATTACTCTATATTACTAGGCTATAGCCTATTATATTAATATATCTATATTACTTTATATTACTCTAATTATATTAATTAGATCATATCATATATATATATATATATATATATATATAATTAGAATACTTGAGAATAAAAAAAATAAATTACATATTCCTTACAAGCTGACATATCTAAATAAACTCCTACACAAAACTACCCTGGTAATAAAATTTGAAATAAAAATACTTACTAAAACACTTAAATAAAACAAGGTAAAATACGTTTTAAAATAAATCCTCGTTGTAGTTATGGTCAGAGGGCTGAGAAAATATATGGCTGTGTTTCAAATCTTGTGCGCTGCTTGCTAGACATCGTCATCGGCTCTGCCCGGCACGCGCTTAGGATGCTGTCTACGCAGGCGACTCGCTAGGTTTTCAAACACAGCCGCAGACTGTCTATTTCCTGGTTACTTCGCAAGGTGGGTGGCTGTTACATGACAACATTAGCTCGTTATTTACACTATTTAATGTACTTTAACTTGCATTTTGAGCAGTTTTGATTGCTGGTTTCATTTGTGTTTCAAACATGGCTCTTTTTCATGGAGCCATTTCTTCAGCTTTTATCAGCAGCGACTGAACTACTATTGAATCCACTAGCCGGATAGCTAACAGTGTTCGGATGACAAATCTGCATGAATGTTGTACATACTATAAGTACATATTAGACTCGGTTGGTCGTATACACCCCTAAATAAACCACAAATAAGTTATGGTTGCAGAGGTTAATGTTATATAATTGTGATAACGAATGTCTCATTGTAAAGAGTGTGGTCTTTGTTAAAGGGCATCCTAATTTGTTTTTTAATGGCTTTCTTTGGGTGTTTGCATGAAGCATATCACGGCTGTTGTTTTCGTGCAGGATGAATGTGGGCGTTGCTCACAGCGAGGTGAACCCAAACACGCGGGTGATGAACAGCCGGGGGATCTGGCTGGCCTACCTGCTGCTCACCACTGCCCTGCATGTGGTCCTACTCAGCATCCCTTTCCTCAGTGTGCCTGTGGTGTGGACGCTCACCAATGTCATACACAACCTGGTCAGTCCATGCAAGAAATCTTTAAAGGAATAGTTAACGCAAAAATTTAAATTTGCTGAGAATTTACTTTCCCTCAAGCCATACAAGATGTAGATGAGTTTGTTTCTTCATCTTCAACAGATTTGGCGAAATGTAGCAGTATATCAGTTGCTCGCCAATTTAGCCTCAGTAGTGAATGGGTGCTGTCAGAATAAGAGTCCAAACAGCTGATAAAATACATCACAATAATCCACAAGTGATCCACACAATTCCAGGCCATCAATTAGTCCATCAAAGTCATCTACATCTTGGATGGCTTCAGGGTGATTAAATAAATAGCACATTTTCATTTTGGGTAAACTATTCTTTTAAAATGATTTCTCTCTCTTTTTTTGGAGGAATAGTTCACCCAAAAATGAAAATTTGCTGAAAATGTATTCACACTCGGGCCATCCAAGATGTAGATACTTTGTTTCTTCATCTGAACAGTTTTGGAAAAATGTAGCAGTATCTCAGTTGCTCACCAGTTCACCCTCAGCAGTGAATGGGTGCCGTCAGAATGAGAGTCCAAACAGCTGATAAAAACATCATGATCCACACGACTCCAGCCCATCAATTAGTCCATCAAACTCAGCTACATCTTGGATGGCCTCAGGGTGATTAATTAATTAGCAAATTTTCAGTTTTGGGTAAACTATTCCTTAAAAAAAAAAACATTTTCACTCTTAAAGAGAGAGTTCACTCAAAAATGCTGTCATTATTTACTCACCCCCATTGTCTGTCCTTCATAGAACACTAAAGTAATAATAAAAGCATCAGCTAAATGACACATTAGTAATTAGTAACATTAATAAAGCCACGTCAAGCTTGAGTAATTGTTATAGTCTATGTAGAATAAACAAATTAGTTCAGTGGTCAAGTGTTAACTCACTTCTCTGCCGTCTAGGCGATGTATCTGTTTTTACATACTGTCAAAGGCACGCCGTTTGAGACGCCGGACCAAGGCAAGGCACGTTTGCTCACTCACTGGGAACAGATGGACTATGGTGTCCAGTTTACAGCGTCAAGAAAGTTCCTCACCATCTCACCTATTGTACTGTGAGTCATATTCATATTTCTGTAGTAACTGACAGAAATAGGACTATATGCATTTACTAAACTACTTTATTACTTCTTATAATCAGTAATTAAAATTACTTCGTTTTTTACAATTCTATATCAACTTTTATTATTTTGTTTATATCTTTATTGTATTTTGTATTATTATATATTATTTATTTGATGTTCTCAATTATATATAGTCTTTTACAGTAAAATCATTACATTTAATTATAATATTTACATTAAATGCTGTTTTTTTTCATAGGTACATCTTGGCCAGCTTCTACACCAAATATGATACTGCTCACTTCGTAGTCAACACAGGTTCACTACTAAGTGTCCTCCTTCCCAAGTTGCCTCAGTTTCATGGAGTTCGTCTGTTTGGTATAAATAAATACTGATAAGACACTTCAGGCCACTCTTGGATGGGACGTAGCATCATGGAGATGAGATGAGATGACTGAAATTCCTTTATTCTCCATATGATGCTTCCTTGGTCCAAAGTCGTAAGGCCTTAAGGAACCAAAACTGCACTGGACTAAAGTACACTATTTAAAAAAGGCCTTCCATGCTCAGGTTTATTCAACCTGTGGCGTTTCTTTTTTAAAATCCCGTCTTATGTCTGTAATTTCTCTTCATCATAATCTCTAGATCTCCATCATAATTTCTAGATTCATCACATTCAAGGATGTTTTTGACTGCATTGCACCAGACAATGTGCCAGTTATCATCTGCTGATATTCTTTGCATAAACCTATTTGCCACAACAAGCTCTGTCACTGTGGGGGCAAAACATGATAGTTCTGAATTATAATATTCAGAGAGTTTTTGTCAGTGTTCTAGTATATATACAACATGGACAACTGCAGTAAATAAGTTATGTTGAATTATTAGAAAACCTGATTTAGATTTTTCATTTCATTTCCTCCAAAAATGCAAAACAATGACCTGTGACAATGTATGAATGTGATATGATAAACAATCTTAAAGTGCTCACTTAAAGTTTATTGCTTAAGTTTCTCGTAGAGCACTGTTATATTAGATTTCTTTGAATTCCTGTATTTATTTAATTTGTTATCATATCATGAAACATTCCAATTTGAAGCAATTGCCATAGTGCGCATACATTATTGTTATAGATTTTTTTTTTAATGTTCATGTCTGCATGGATCATATTTGTTCACAATACAGAAGTGAAAAGTATGCACAGTGGGGAACAAAAGTCTGAGACCACATTGAAAATGTATTCAAAATCTAATAGGTGGAAAGTTTTAGAATGTTTAAAAATAAAACACAAATATACAAATAGTATATTCTGCCCTTTTTATATTCTCTATGTTCATTTCTTTTTGTGAAATATGTACAGAAGGACAAGATGGTCTTTGGATTGTTCTCAAGTAATGTTGAGATCACGATCATCAAGCTTTACACAAAGCTGTGGAGTTCATACAGCGCATTGAAATATTTGAACTATCTGAAAGTCAATGTTTTGTTAAAATTTGAGATGAATTTTTTTTTTTTTTTTTTTTACTTTTGTACGTTTCAGCATCAAATTTCCAGTTTAGTATGTTCAGTTTTTTCAACCCAGTTGTAATGTGTTGCACTGGTGTACTTAAAATGGCTCTTGCACAAGATTCAGTCATGAAGTCATTTGGACTAATATTCAAAGTCTCAAATTACCTAATGTAATGATATGCAAATCACTGCATACAACAATCTCTATCAAATAAAAGACATTTACAGTTGCATGTGTCGCAGTATATGGCCCTCATTACTTAGCCACCGGTGTTTATTCCATATGATAAGCACGTTAAGGTCTGATGCTCAGAGAGAACGGCATGAAGTTGCATCACATTGCACGGAAGCATGTAAATCATCTAAAGCAATCATAATACTACAGGATCAATGTAACCACATGCAGATGAACAGTTAACGTGGGAATCCTCGCCTCTCACCTACTGGATAACAACAAACCACACAGGTGAACAAGGAAGAGGTGTAAGCATGAGCCACGAGGAAGCTAAACAAACACACGCCGTACACACAGCCCCGGTTGTGTCAGTCCGATGAATATAGACGCGCATTTGGATAAACTGTGAAGGTGTACCGGGGGGAAATCCGTGAGTTTTACATGTTACACACCTACACTTGGACGGGGCAAGCCCAGCGACTGCGATAAGCCGATAGCTGGACGGGAATCCCCACCTACAAGCTCAGGTGTCTCCCAGCTGCATTTCAGGGAAGAGGTAGAAGGAGGGGAATAGTGTCCTCGGCCCACCTATGCCACCGATTTGCCTAGCATATGTAACACACGCTGTCTATTTAACACGGAAGCACATGCAAATAGTATTCTGACTCAGTGCGCTAGATTACTGAGGAATCCTGTGTTAGTGACACGAGGGGAGCACCGCTGATGTCACCGCTGGAATGCAAACAGCATTTGCATGAGCTGCAGAGGAAGAACGGCAACCAGGAAGGCTGTGATATCTGTTCTTGCTTCAGCCTTTCAAAGCCGGTCGGATCCAAAAACCAAAAGCTGAGGCGCTGCTGTGACAGAACAGACAATGCATCTGCTGTTTCTCGCAATTCTGCTTTCTGTGTTCCTGTTCAGAGCCTGCTGTAAGAAAGGTCTGCACTGATCGGTGAAGGTCAGCCAAACCACAGCATTTGTATAAAGAAATCCAAGAGGTGATCAGCCGTAAAACAGTGGTTAAAGAGGGACTGCGTCTTATTCTGCTGACGGCTACGGAATGACTTTGTGTTTTATGATTTTTACTGGTTCATTTACTGGAGAAGTGAGTCAGCAATAATAAAAACGAGATAGAAGAAAAGTGAAAATGATTTAGCGGAACCTTATTCTAAAGAGCTGATTTGTTTCTTATTGCAGAGGAATCGGTTGAAAACGCATGAAATAAACTGTACCTAGCATGGTGATAGATAAAAAAATAACATAAGATGGGGGAACAAATAATATTCCAATGTGTTTGCGTTCCCCCGAGAAACTTTCTCTAGCAAAACATTTGCTTTCCTCCATAGGCTAGCAAAAATAATACTGAAATATAGTTTTTCCACAAACGTTTTGCGAGCAAATGCACACTTTCTCGTAGCAACACAAGTTTTCGAGAGCATTCTCAAAAGCATTGAGTGGGAGAAAAAAAATATGTTCATATTTCTACGAGCAAGCGAAAGTTTTTCGGAGGAACGCAATATTTTTGTGAGAGAACATACAAGTTTTGCGTTCCCCTTTAAACCTTTGTTCGCTCGCAAAAAACATTGAAATTTAGTTTTTCTAGTTCAGTGAACTAACGTCAAGTTTCTCGATGGAAAGTCTTGCGAGCGAACGCAAAAATATTAAAGTATTGTTTTTCCTCCTATTTTATTTTCCCCCATCAACATGTCCCTATATAGTGGGCTTCGCACTATAGTGATGTTCAAGAGATTGAATATAAAAACAAACAAACAACAACAAAAAAAACCCACTGATGATACATAAATATTCCAAAAAGAAGTTTAAAAGTATTAAATTATTTAATGGTGCTGACAAGGGGATTTTAAGCACAGAAAAGATGTAAATCTTTAAGAGTTTCAGCAATTCCACTGTGAAAGAATGACAGGTACAGGTATATTTGTGCTATGGTATGTTACAACTAGAGTGGCAGTATTATCTACACTGTTTGATTTTTGTATTTAAAAAGGCTCATTCCGCTCTACTCTTGTAGTTTTTCTTCTAAAGCACAGGAATACATGTGAACACAAAACATGTTCGTTTCAACAGTGCCCTATATAAAATGTTAGATTTTATGCTGCCACCAAGTGGTCACTACAAAGACGAACATAATTTCTGAATTTCATGAGAGATTCGACCATATTTATTGGCTTACAAAGTAAAGCCAATACATTAAGACACACTGTATGTATTTCTCTGCGTTTATTACTCATTCATAAAAAAATAATCCTTTGACCCTAAACAGACTTACAGCTCCAGTCAATGGCCACAAAAAAAACTATAATGTATGTGCCTCTTCCGATCCACTATTTCAGTATTCTAAACTTACAAACAAGACACATAAAATACAGTCCATGTAACAGCACAGCGTTCACAGCTCCCTCCTCACACAGGAAGTCTCTGCATAATTTCAAACTCAAAGATTTAAGACAAATAAAAACCGATCATAAGAAAAATAAATCAAACAACTTTTTTGGCCTTTCTCATGAGCCATGAAAACAAGGGGGCATTTTCACTGTTAATAGTCCATTATGAATGCATCAGAGACTGAAGTCATGAATAAAAACCTCCAAAAGATACATACAGAAGAACAGTGAATGCTACATTTGAACAGATCTCAGATCTGCTTAAATTAAATTCTTTCATATGCGTCATCAGTCATTTCACCCGTGTGTTGTTGAGTCGTGGAGATGCCGCACCTGGCTTCACATCATCATCCGTCTC